AGAAATAAAATTTGGTACAAAAACGGAATCTACATGGGAAGGCGAAGGCGATGATAAGCAGGAAATCAAAACAGAAGTGGATGATATCATAAACAATCCACACCCAATTTGGAAGATGAAACCAGCTGATCTTACAGACGAAGATTATAAGAAGTTTTACAACGAACTTCACCCGTTCAGCCAGCCACCATTATTCTGGATACATTTGAATATTGATTATCCATTTAATTTGACGGGTATTTTGTACTTCCCAAAATTGACCAATAACTTTGAAGTACAAAAAAACAAAATCCAACTATACAGCAATCAAGTATTTATCACGGATGATGTCAAAGAAATCGTGCCAGAGTTCTTGATGCTTCTCCATGGCGTGATCGACTCACCGGATATTCCATTGAATGTATCTCGTAGTTACCTACAATCAGATAGTAACGTCAAAAAAATAAATACTTACATTTCTAAAAAAGTGTCTGAAAAACTTCAGTCTCTATTCGAAACAGATAGAGCATCTTACGAAGATAAGTGGAAAGAAATCAGCACTTTTGTGAAGTATGGTATGATCTCAGACGAGAAATTTAATGAAAAAGCGATGGGATTTGCTTTGCTAAAAAATCTTGACGGCGTACACAGCACATTAGAAGAATACAAAGAAAAAGTAAAGGCAACCCAAACTGACAAACACAATAAATTGATCTATTTGTATGCCAATGACCCGAAAGCGCAACACAGCTACATCAAAGCAGCAAAAGATTATGGTTATGATGTGTTAGAAATGGATACCATCATAGACAATCACTTCATGCAGCACATCGAGTACAAAGGCAATGAAGTAACCTTCGTCCGTGTGGATTCTGATACACCTGACAATCTCGTACAAAAAGACGAAACAAAAGAGTCAGTACTTAGCCAAGCCGATCAAGACAAGGTAAAAGATATATTTACCAATAATGTGAAAAATCTAGGCATGGGACAAATTGAGTTGAAACCATTGTCACCTACAGACCATCCTGTGACCATCACCAAACCAGAATTTATGCGTAGAATGAAAGAAATGCAAGCTATGCAAGGTATGGATATGGGCATGTTTCCAGATAGCCACAATGTAGTCATCAATACCAATCACCCACTAATCGCAGACAAATTGGTCAAGATGAAAAGTGAAGAAAAGAAAGCAGATTTTGCAAACTATCTCCACGACTTAGCACTCCTAAACCAAAACATGCTTAAAGGCGAAGAGCTTTCTGCATTTATAGCAAGAAGCTTAGAGTTTGTGAAGTAATATTGGATACATAATGTATAAAAAGCCGTAAAGCAGTTTTGTTTTGCGGCTTTTTTGTTTTTGGAAGCCACTT